TTCCAACCTTAATGATACTATGATTCTATAATTCAGACAGAGAAAGAAGACTATAGGAAGGACTAGTGACAAAGAAGGGGTTCTGTGGTAAACTTCCCTGTGTATAACCCCTACTGCTGCTGAATCAGGCCTTTATATTTATTACAGATTCTGTAATTTCTCACACTACCTGCAGGATAAATCAGTTAAGCACTCACAGAATGAAATAAAAATTATGCTTTGTAGAAAATATCAATTATGCTATTTGTACTCCAAAAGAAAATACTCCACCTTTTTCTTCCCTGTTTTTTAAGACTGAGTTCCTGGCTTTACATCAAGAACACGAGTTGCGCATCCTGACACTGGAAGACCTTCTTGGAAAGCTCTCTGCTGAATCCAAGGTATTGAAAGTTAGCTTTGCTAACTCGCTCTAATTGTAACTCGTTGGTAAAATAGACTAAGTTTTTTGTTGGCTATCCCAAACCCCAGTTTGCTTTACTCTCGCTGTTGCAGTTCTTTAAGTCCCAAAACTTGTTTGTGTTCTTGCTCCCCCTTCTTGGAGGGGGTTTCAGTCCAAAGATTAAAAATTATTCAAGGGGGTTTCAGTCCAAAGATTAAAAATTGTTCACTTGACCAGTGAGGCAGGTTCTATTTGGAATAAAATCTTATTATACAGAGGCACACACGTAAGTGTGGGGACACAGTCCTGTATAGGTGGTGCTAAAATCTGCCATTTTCATTTAATGTTCTTTATCATCTTTCTGTCACTTTTGTTTCTTTATATATATTAAATCTAACTTTTGTATTTTTTAGGACATCCAGAAGGAGCTTGACATAGCCAAAGCAAAAACAGTGAGGTATAAGCACTTTCAAATATATTTTGCTTTTTCAATCCTGATGCTAACTTTTGGTGATATACATATTCTTTGAAATACAACAATGCTTTTCTTTGTGTCAGTTAACTGACCTTAAGAGTTTGTATTGTCAGCAAGAGTACTTCTGTCTTATAGTAGACTTTAACTGTGACGCTGAACATCAGCACAAGACCCATTTCCAGTGTGTGAGCAATCCTACAACTACATTTTTTACTAGAGAAAGCTGTTTATACAGTGGAGGAGAATGAGTGACTTCTCATCCTCTTAGAAATGCATTAGAATTTTTCCTCACATTGCTTAGTGAAGTATAGAGTAACTGCTTCTTATAGGCTTTATAGTTAAGTTCTTCAATTTATCAGTTCCAACATTCATCTCTGTTTTTAGTTTGTCAGCTGTACTACTTTCCACTCATGTACTGTGTAATACCGGCATAAAAACTGCAGCACTTCATTAAGTAGTTTCCCCGTTGGGGAAGAGAAAAAGAAACACTTCTTTGCTGAATTGTCATTTAAATTAGATCTAAATGTAAAATGGCTTTAGAATGATGGCTGATACTCTTTTCCATAGCATGCATTGAACACTGATCTATATTGCTCATATGTGACCAGCTACTTAGGCTCAACCTGATACCTGCATCTAAAGTTACTCTGGTTTAAGTAAGGTAATCTGAAATTCACTCTAACCAGTGGCAAACTCATGCAAATAAAGTTTGACTGGTTTGCCAGAAACCTTAAATTCCCCAAAATCTATATAGTTACTAACTTGTCAGCCTGGTGATGTTCTGAAGTCATCGCTGCTGGATTTGTTCAAAACTTCAAAATACTTTGCTTTGAATATATTAATCCTAAGTATGCCTTAAATAACATCTTCAAGGAACTGCAAGCTCACAATGTCTATCATGGTGAATAACTGAACTAGGAAAGCACTTTGTATTAAAGCATGTTCTCACGCCTTTGGAATTTGATGGAATGATTCGAACTACTCTTTCCTAATTATTGACTCCTTGTTTTTGTCAGAGATGATGATGAACACAGTCAACTTTTGTCCAAAGTTAAAAAGCTAGAACTAGAGTTGTCTCGGATGAAATCGGAGCTGTTAACTGGGGAAAGTCTGAAGACGAGTTGCGAGAAAATAGATGTCATTCATGAAAAAGTAGGTTCTGTAACTTCTGTAACTGTCCCAGTAAAACTCAGTACTACTTGGTTTTGTTCACTAACTTTCTTGAAATGCACTGTAATAAGTACTGTGGGGGTGGTATTAATCTTAAAGAACGGTAATGTTTTATGTAGTGGTACTGTGAATTTTTCCATTAGTGTGTAACATTTTACTAGACAAGAGTTTGTGGCTTGTTTTCTACAATGGCAGGGGTTTTTGCATTTAAGATGTAATGCAATAGCAGTTCTGTATACAGTACTTTGCTGTTCTTACCAATGTATTTTGCTAACCCATGGAAATGTGGAAAAGAAACTTAAGTAAAAGCAAGTTAGGTTTGTTATCTGAGAGTTGTTTTGGAAAATCATGCTTAAGTTCTTTTGAAGCTTTTTATAAGGTCTGACTGGAATGTAGCCAACAAAGTACAACAGTTAGTATTGATACGGGATTATCAACTTTGACTAAAATACCATCTTGTGATAACGCTCAAATATGAGCTAGTTATTGTGCATGGAATCAAAGCATACCATAAGTGAGTGGTTAAGCAACTTGCTTAACTAGGTCTAACAAGTACACTGCTCCCCTTAGAGTTGCCACGGTGCCTTCTTTGAACTGTTGCAGTCAACTTTTTTTTTATTCTGAAGTGTTAGTCAGACCACTAATGTAAACTGCATAGTTTGCTAGGGCTTTGTTAGGTGTATCTTGTTCACCAAACTGATGAAGCATCCAGATTTCCTATATGTTCTTCTGCACACCTGACTGGTCTGTTATTCCAGTGTAAGTCAGTGTAGTTAAAACACATCTGAAAGCTAGACTTCTGTGTAGCACTAAATGTATTGATTTCAC